TTCCTGAAGAAAGATGACACAGGATATGCACTGTCGCTCGTAAATACTTGATCTTCGTTTAATTGGTTTCAAATTAAAATTAGAAAGAAATTAAGTGGTTTGAATTTGGCAAAAGTTTTCTTTTGTATTGAAATATTTTTTAACGTTTATGATAATTATAATTTATGAATAAACTGACACAGGATATACACTACAGCTCATAAATATTTGTCCTTTATTTCAAGGAGTAGCATTATTCGATCGATTTTCATGAAACCAGTCAAGGACTTAAATTCGAAAATTTAAAACTTCTTCTTTTAAATATTAAAATAATTTTTATGTTTATGATAATTATAATTCACAAACAAGCTGACACAGTGCTTTATTTCAACGAGTAACTTCGGTCAATCGATCTTCAAGAAAAGATTCAAATTTCAAGATTTTTTTTTTACATTAAAATATTTTTTTATGTTTACAATTATAATTGACAAACAAGCTGACACAGTGCTTTATTTCAACGAGTAACTTCGGTCAATCGATCTTCAAGAAAGCAGTCAAGAATTTAAATTTGAAGAATTTTTTTGAAATGAAAATATTTGTTATGTTTACGAAGATTATAATTCCTAAAAAAGCTGACACAGGATATACGCAACCACTTATAAAAATTTGCCTATCCTGTTTCTCTCAGTATATCCCGAAGAGAACGATAAAGGAATGAAAATTGACCGTGGCAAGGAAGCTTATCGAAAGAAACAATAAAAGAATGGTGATTCTACTTGAAAAGGTAAATTCGAAGGAAACAAGTCGCGCGATCCAGAATCTACTTAGGAGACATAATCTCCATATCACAAATACAGTTCGTTCAAGTTGCAGCGAAGTTCTCCATATAAAAAGAGCTCTCGCGGGGGCGAAGAAGTTTCTCCTCATAGCCGGGATTATTATTTAAAATAGCCAGCGTCTCTAACATTTTTTTCTACAAACTGGTTCGCAGCCGTCCATTAATGCATTTTAAACGGCACACGTTACAAGGAAACTTTCTTTCCAACGCGAGAGTGCCTTTCAAAAATATATGGAGAACGTTTGCCCCATAGAAACGCGCCTTTCGCTTATTGTTACTTTTCTGCGGGCTGTGCCCCATGTCGAACTTCCGCTTCAAAAGATTTTTCACCGACATAAAATCGCTTTTACCGGTTTAAAAAATTTTGAAATTATATTCGAGGCGATCGCTTTCGTTCATTTCGAAAATTTTGGAATGAAATTCGAGAGCATTGCTTTCATTAGCATTGCTTTTATGTATTTCAAAAATTTTGAAATTATATTCGAGACAATCGGTTTTATGCATTTTAGAAATTTTGAAATTATATTTATGGCAATCGGTTTTTGTGCATTTCACAAATTTTGGAATTATATTCAAAGCTTTTATGCATTTCGAAAATTTTGAAATTATATTCGAGACAATCGCTTTCGTTCGTTTCGAAAATTTTGGAATTATATTCGAGACAATCGGTTTTATGAATTTCGAAAATTTTGAAATTGTATTCGAGGCAATCGCTTTTACACATTTCAAAAATTTTGAAATTATATTCGAGACAATCGGTTTTATGCATTTCGAAAATTTTGAAATTATATTTATGGCAATCGGTTTTTGTGCATTCCAGAAATTTTGGAATTATATTCAAAGCTTTTATGCATTTCGAAAATTTTGAAATTATATTTATGGCAATCGGTTTTTGTGCATTCCAGAAATTTTGGAATTATATTCAAAGCTTTTATGCATTTCGAAAATTTTGAAATTATATTCGAGACAATCGCTTTCGTTTATTTCGAAAATTTTGGAATTAAATTCGAGAGCATTGCTTTCATTCATTTCGAAAATTTTGGAATTATATTCGAGACAATCGCTTTTACACATTTCAGAAATTTTGGAATCATATTCGAGGCAATCGCTTCTATCCTTTTCAAAAGTTTTGAAGTATTCCAGGCAATGGTCTTCATCAATTTCAAAAATTTTAAAATTACATTCGAGGCAATATTATCTCCCGAATATCAATTGCATTTAAAGAACGTTTTTAGGTTAGATCAGGTTAGAAAAGGATCGTTTGACAAATAGTCAAACGATACAGTGATTAACGAACCCATTAAAATTCTCTCTCCGAGCATCACCGACACCTCGAAACTTTCTCAAATTTGCCATTTTACCACCTTAATTATTCACACTTCAATTGAACACACGTGCCCACAAAATCGGGGCTATTAGTTCACCAGTATCCTAACCTCAAAACCTTCCCTTCCGCGTTACGTCTAATTAACTTATCACCGTTTTAAAATATTTTTTCTCAAAGCACTCTAGAAGGTCACCAGTTAAACCACCATACCGAAACGTCGATTCACCTAAAATTAAACCAACTACAGCAACCGGATTCATCTTCTCAACAAACGCGACGTAATCAATTCCCAACAATGACCCAATTAGTCACGCGTTCGAATCGTCCACGGGGAACCGCAAAATATGATCGCGAAGTTGTCCAGAAAAAGAGTGAACGCTCACCTTGTACACGTTGGGATTCTTCTTCGGATCGGTGAGCACGTCGAACGCTGTGTACAGTTGATTGAGCATATTGACGATCTTCATAGCGCCGCTCGAGTCTGTGTGAGCGGCACAATATGCCCCGAAACCGACGATCCCGGAGAACAACAGTGTCACGCAGTCGTATTTCTTCGCTGGGACAGGCCTCGAGTGCCTCAGTTCGTTCGCCACGGATATAGGCAGCACGGAGTACAACAACCTGCGGAACACCGGTTACTTTTAACTAACAAATATTAAAGCTTGAAACAACCGTGAACACTTTGGTTGCCTACACAAGGATTAGCACTTGCTAGAAAATTTAATTCTTCAATAATCACGCGTAACATTCATCGTTTCAATGCTCATAAACAGCAAATACACAAATTACGCATGCTGCAGGTTACAAGCATACGAAATACGGTAAATTCTCCACAAGTGTCAGTCCGCAAGGAACCTAATGACTTGGCTGTCGGAAAAGGGGGAGTAGCGAGAATTTTATATTAACTTCTTAGTTCGCCCCGAGGTTTTTTGTTCGTTAGTCTCAGCTCCGAGCTTGGCGTGCGTTAGGTTCAGAGTTTCAGAGCTGTTCCGGGCCTCTATTGGTAAACTTTCGACGAAATTCAATTAAGTTGTGAAGTTCGGAAATTGAGAGAATGTTAAAGTTGCTTTTGAATTCAGCGAGATGTTGTGATTATCGTGATAGATCGACGTTGAACGTTCATTTTCGCATTTTCCTTTTCGATTGTTTTCGACGCTCGCCGGCTGTTGATTAACGTATCTATCTAATCCAATTTATCTATCGCGTTTAATTAACTGGTTCTATCTCACGAGTGAGATCTCGAACTTTTAGATTAACGATGTAGAGATTTGTATGATATTTAAAGGATAAATGCCTGATCAGAGTTGATTGTGTGTTAAAAGTGGCTGAATTCGAATGGAAAAGGAGATAGATAACAATTAGCGGATTTATCCATCTCCATCCGCGGGAAACTCTTTCTAGAGACCGGGGCCATTTAAACGTGGACCGTGCACCAGAAGGCAACAGGTGGAAAAATGTAACTGCTATTCAAATTAATCTCCCTTCATGTTTGTTGATCGCGTCTCGACGTTGCAGTGAAAATATCGAACGCCACGGGAACCGAAAGAGTTATCCGTATTTTTTGTGGGAAGTTAGAACGATGCTTCGAGGTGTTAAAAAAAAAAAAAATGTGACTTTTGGAGAAAAAGAGACGAGAAAATTGTATCTGTGTTTGTTTCGTTTGCTAGTTTCCTGAATTTAATTATACCTGGGAAACTTTTTCAATTTTAACATCTTCAGTTCTTCTCGATTTACCGTGTATATTTAATTCTGCGATAAATTTGTTCCTAGATTGAAGCATTCCGGTGCTTCGAAGCAACGCTGCGCGTCAGAAGAGACGGGCGCTTAAAAAGTACTTCGGCTTCTTGGCTGAAACGAATGATAGAGAGGGAAAGGGTGAAAGAGAGAGAGAGTGAAAGTGAGAAAAGAAAGGAGGAAAGAAGAGACAGAGAAGAAATGAGAAAGGGAGAGACAGAGAAGAAACGAGAAAGAAATATGAGAAAGAGAGAGGGAGAGAGAGAGAGAGAGTGAAAGTGAGAGAAGAAAGGAGGAAAGAAGAGACAGAGAAGAAATGAAAAAGGGAGAGACAGAGAAGAAACGAGAAAGAAATATGAGAAAGAGAGAGGGAGAGAGAGAGAGAGAGTGAAAGTGAGAGAAGAAAGGAGGAAAGAAGAGACAGAGAAGAAATGAAAAAGGGAGAGACAGAGAAGAAACGAGAAAGAAATATGAGAAAGAGAGAGGGAGAGAGAGAGAGAGAGTGAAAGTGAGAGAAGAAAGGAGGAAAGAAGAGACAGAGAAGAAATGAAAAAGGGAGAGACAGAGATGAAACGAAAAAGAAATATGAGAGAGAGGGAGAGAGAGAGAGAGAGAGTGAAAGTGAGAGAAGAAAGGAGGAAAGAAGAGACAGAGAAGAAATGAAAAAGGGAGAGACAGAGAAGAAACGAGAAAGAAATATGAGAAAGAGAGAGGGAGAGAGAGAGAGAGAGAGTGAAAGTGAGAGAAGAAAGGAGGAAAGAAGAGACAGAGAAGAAATGAAAAAGGGAGAGACAGAGAAGAAACGAAAAAGAAATATGAGAGAGAGGGAGAGAGAGAGAGAGAGAGAGAGAGAGAGTGAAAGTGAGAGAAGAAAGGAGGAAAGAAGAGACAGAGAAGAAACGAGAAAGAAATATGAGAAAGAGAGAGGGAGAGAGATGAGAAAGGAAGAAACAGAGAAGAAAGGAGGAAAGAAGAGACAGAGAAGAAATGAAAAAGGGAGAGACGGAGAAGAAACGAGAAAGAAATATGAGAAAGAGAGAGGGAGAGAGATGAGAAAGGAAGAAACAGAGAAGAAAAGGGAAAGGAAGAGACAGGGAAGAAATAAAAAAAGAGTGAAAGAGATAAGAAAGAGAGACACGGAGAGGAAACGAAAAAGAGAGTGACAGAGAACCAGAGAGATGAGAAAGGGAGAGACAGAGAAGAAATGAAAAAGCACGAGAGAGATAGAGATGAGATGAGAAAGGGGGAGACAGAGAAGAAACGCAAAAGATAGCGAAAGAGGAAGGAAGAGACAGAGAAGAACCGAAAAATAGAGTGACAGAGAATGAGAAGAGATGAGAAAGGGAGAGACAGATAAGAAACGAAGAACAGAGTGGCACAGAACGAGAAGAGACGAGAAAGGCAGAGAGAGAGAGAGAGGCGCGATCCAATTTCCGGTAGCAGAAGAGTATCCTGTCAAGAAAGAAACTCCATCGTCAACGTTAGAAGGCGAAGTCGATTCCGAGACGGCAGAATTGCGTCAGGATAAATGGCAAAACGAGGCCAATGGGGATTTCCTTAATCAGAAAATTACGCGGACGGAAATCCTTACCTGTCGGTTTTCTGCTTCTCGCCGTCTAGCTCGCGATACGTCTGCTGCAATTTATCGGTAAGCAATTCCAAGTTTCTCGTTAATTTGTAATCAGCCTCGAATTGCTCTGACATCAGCACGAGATCTCTGGTCGCGTCGTGAAGGGGGACGTCGCTCAGGTATAGGCCCCGCCTGACGAACAGAACCGTGCAACAGTGAGAGAAGAAGAAAGAAACCTTCTATTCCCAGCGCTATTAACGCGGGTGATTTCTGAAAAAAACCGTGGGTATTAAGGAACGTAGAAATGGTAATGGTATTTTTCTCCATTTGCCAGGTATAACTGTATGAGAAATAACAGCTCTCCCTGTACATTTTCTAATCATTCGTATAAATAATATTATTATTTCAGTTTAATTATAATTACTTTAACATACAATTACACAGTACACAGTACAAGTTAGCGCGATTTCAACCAGGTGTTACTTTCATTCGAAAGAGAACGTGGTAAATTGTGTAATTCCAGGGAGGATCTTCTGGTTGCCATTTTAATCGACTACACCGGATTACTTTAATTAATTAAGCTATCCGAGACGGTGAAAGAATTCCTTTTGTCTGAGCTTCATGTCTTGATAAGCTTCCAAGTGCAGATTAACTCCGACTCTAGCCGTGAAAGCAGTTTCACTTCTCAGAGAAAATTCGTTCTTTCAATTCTCGAAGAGAATGCTGGATAAGACTGATAAATCTAGAGAAAAAATGTACCAAGTCTCTGGAAATCAAAAAGGGATTATCGAAATAGGAATGAGAAATTTGTATTTGCCATTCATCGATCTCGAAGGCGTTGAACGATATTTATGACTTCCCGCGGAACAATTTGCCCTCGACGCCTCTAATCGTTCCCATTCGATCATCTTCCATGTATAATTCATGTCTCTTTCCCAATCTCGCTCAGAGATTACGCGACCACCCGGTGTATTGTAGTACACTCTTGAGATTCAAAAGAATTACCTACATTTTTGATATACATACTTTCACGAATCATCATTTCTTCCCATTTTTACTCAACATTCAGATTCAAGTTATTTGTTATTTTAGCATTTGTTTAAGTACTAGTTGAAGTATCTTCCATAATCTACGGAAACGAATGTTAGATAGCAATTAAACGTGATTCCAATATGGCCCATAATTGAAATCACGATTAAGACAGGCAGAGATACACCTGGAGGCCACATTTCCGGGATCCGAGTCTTTGGACGCTTATTCAGGGAAGAAATTAGGGATGGTGGATTATACAAAGAAGAAAACTAACGCTTCAAGTGCAATTGCGAATAAATTCACCTCAAAAAAAGAAGTGAAGTGAAGTTAAGTTAAGACACTCCCTAGCCTAATTTTTACTGTTCCACGCTTTGAAGAAACCCCAAAAAATTCTGAGACAGTTACCAAAGTCTCTACTAAATTATATAAAAATAAAAACTCTTATCAAAAAAAAAAACACAAGAGTGAAATTTCCCTTGGGTCATTAACGACCCAGGTTACCAACGTAGAATTAAATCTAGCTTCTACACCTAACAACTAAAACAGAACTCATTCGATCCCTTAATCACCGACGATGAAAGCGTAAAAAAGAACAATAACGCTCCAAAACGCGTAAAAACCGTGTTTCACGTAACGCGCGTAACGCAGGATCGGATACATTCCCCGTGAAACGGCGTAAAAAGTGTGTGGAATAATAGATGAGGGGAAACGCGTGAAAATGTATGACGAGACGTTGGCAGGCGCGATGTTTCATGCATTCAGTCGGCTTGCCAGGCGCAAAATCGTGGAAACGAGAGGCAAAAGATAACGCGAACGAAAGAAAGAAAGTGTAATCTAGGTTGAATAGAGAGAGAGGGGAAAAATGACGAGAACAAGGGTGAAGATTATTCGAACCGAGGGGCAATTCGGTGGCGGCGTGACGAGAATTTATGTCCGCAGTATAGCGCGTCCAGACAGTAGAATGGCTGTAATTATGCGAACCATCGGTTCAACATCTATTCAACACAGGATATATATATATGTGTATACCGTTATTTTGCTCGACGACAAATATTTTACCGTGCAAAGAGAAGAAGGAGGAGATACGTTAGGATGAATTAATGGGGTATGGTCCAGCAACTACAGCCATCGACACACGTTGCGTCTATTTACGATAGCGACCTACATACCGATGTCTTCGATGGCCAACAGATCGGCCGGGTTACGCTTTATGGAGGATTTCTCGGTACTCCAATGGACATACCGCCATTGTCTCATTCCTGCCGACGGGTATAACGAGATTATTCTTCGCGGTACTTGTATTTTTCAACGGGATGCTCTTTTGGGGTGCTTCTGTATTCGGTGTTGTACGGCGGTGTGAACGTTTTACTGTTTGGTCAAAGTGTTTTCAGATAGATATTTACAATGCGTTGGAATATTTTGATGAAAAATGAGTTGCTCTGTTAAAAAAAAAATAGCGATTTTTGTATACACAGGGTGTCCCGTAAAGAGTGTAACACCTGGAAATGGGGGTTGCTGGGGTGATTCTGAACAACTTTTTCCTTTACCAAAATGTTGTTTGGAGCTTCGTTTTTGAATTATTAACGAAAAACACTGGCCAATCACAGCGCGCGTAGAGCCCCCGCTCAGGGACGGGAGATTCACGCGTACGCTTGTTCACGATAGCGCGCGGGTGAATGTTCGCCCGCCCCTGAGCGCTCTGATTGGCCAGTGTTTTTCGTTAATAATTCAAAAACGAAGCTTCAGACAAGATTTTGGTAAAGGAAAAAGTTGTTCAGAATCACCCCAGCAACCCCCCATTTCCGGATGTTCGAAGAGTTACGGGACACCCTGTATATACTACCGGGCAAAAGTTTGCAATCACCGAGCATTGCAATTTACACAAAAATTTCCAGAAAATAAGAATTGATCGATCAATTAAACACTGATTGGTCAAAATCACTGATCCGTAAAATGAATACAGGTACTTAAAGGAGTGAACACCCAGACGCACACTATTATCAGCACGTCTCCAGACCCTAGCTGCAATGCTTGCGAAACTTCGGAATGTAAATTCTTTTAGAAAATAGTCAGCGACTTTGAGAATTGTTTATCGTTCGAATCAATTGAGATGAGATAAATTGATAAATGTAGAATTGAGATAAACTTTAATAACGAGATTTAATATTGACGAAAAGTGGGAGGTGATTCCAAACTTTTGGCCGGTAGTGTATGTTGCGAGCTATTTCAGTGATTCGACTATGAAATTTTTGGAAACAGAACTTTCGTGACGTCTGCAATTTTTATTGTGTACGTTGTTTGGTAGAATAGAGATTTTTTCGGTGATTCGACTATGAAATTTTTGGAAATAGAAATTTCACGAAGTTTGCAATTTTTTGTCGAGTTTGATGTGGAGATATGTTGGAATCTTTTAGTAAACAATGATTTGCTACATCCAAAAAAGAATAGCGAAATTTGTATACGTATGTGTGAATCTTTTCAGTGATCTGACTATCAAATTTTTGGAAATAAAAGATGGGAAGGTTTTCAACTTTTATTTGTCGAGTTTGGCGTTGAGATACGTTTGAATCTGCTCTGTTCAGAGAGGAAGTAGTAAATTTTGTGTACATATGCAATTTTTATCGTGTATATTGTTTGGTGTTGAGATTAGAATCTTTCAGTAAAAAATGAATTATTCCGTCTAAAAATGAAACAGTGAATTTTCTACAAATATGTGTGAATTTTTTCAGCGATTTAACTATGAAATTTCAGGTTTGCAATTTTCATTGTGCACACTGTTCAGTATTAGAGTCTTTCGACAAAAAGTTATCCCCTCTGTGTATCCGTGTGCAATAAATTTTCTCAGCGAATCAGACTCGAAAATTTTCAAAATAGAAATTTCACGAGCTTCGCAATTTTTATCCCGCACATCCTTTGACGTCGAGCTACGTTCGAATCGTTTAATAAAAAAATTATTCGCTCCGTTTAAAGAGAACGCTGTGAATTTTCCGGCCATGAAATTTTCCAAATGGAAACTTTACGAGGTATGCAATTTTTATCGTGGCGCATCGTGTTTGATGTTGAGGACGCTGTCGCTTTTATCCATAAACGGAGGCTCACTCGGGAAGACACGTCGAATTGAAGAAGTGAAATACGCGGAGATTAAGGAATATCAAAAGGGGGATGTTGGGGCATTAAGGCAACCTCGATGGCCGAGAGTAAAGATATTTCAAGGTCGTTTCTGCTTTCCTTATCTTAACTGCGCCAGCATTTATCGGAGTAGCGAGCGTGGCGAAACGAGTTCATTCATTCCACGGTGGAAAATGAAACAGCTTGCCTTAGCTGAATTCTAACGTAAATAATAATTAGTTGAAACATCGTGGAAGTCCAATTAGTTAGTTGAGCATTCGCAAGAAAATTGTTATTATTGAGCTAATTAAAATGTTACCGGATGAACTGTGTTGCAACCGCTGAACACGCGGTATCTAGATAAATAGATTCGGAAATTCGTTGCAAAATTTATGTTTCCTTTATCTAACGCAATCATCTATCTTGCATGACAAATGCGTGCTTTAACATTGTGAAATTTAACAAATTTAAAACAGAAAAGTGCAACCTTTCTTGCATAATAAATGTGTAGTTTAATATGCAAAAATTTGTCCAATTTGAAATATGAAAGTAGTTTTAATGTTATTTCAAAAATTTTAAGTACGAAAATGCAATCTTTTTTTCAGAATTAATGTGTACTTTAGAATGTGAAAATTTGTCAAATTTAAAATATAAAAGTAGCTTTAATATTTTTTCAAAAATTTTAAGTACGAAAATGCAATCTTTTTTTTTTCAGAATTAATGTGTACTTTAATACGTGAAAATTTGTCAAATATGTCAAATTAAATCAAATCAAATTAATAACGTGTCAAAAATTAACAGTTTTTTAAATACAAAAACTACAAAGCAGAGACTTTCCACTTAGTAATTCCAATTATCCTAACATTTCACTGTTACAGTACCGAGATAAATAGATTCAGAAATTCGTTGGAAAATTTATGCTTCCTTCATCTAACGCATTCTTCCTTGCACGATAGATACATATTTTAACAAGCGAAATTTTTCAAATTCGAAGCACAAAACTGCAATCTGTTTTCCACAATGTATGTGTCCTTTAACCCCTCAAAATTTGTCAAATTTAAAATATAAAAAGTTTCAATATTTTTTCAAAAATTTTTAAAAGTGACAAAACTGCAACCTTTTTCCACAATAAATGCGTGCTTTAACACCTCAAAATTTGTCAAATTTAAAATATAAAAAGTTTCAATATTTTTTCAAAAATTTTTAAAAGTGGCAAAACTGCAACCTTTTTCCACAATAAATGCGTGCTTTAACACCTCAAAATTTGTCAAATTTAAAATATAAAAAGTTTCAATATTTTTTCAAAAATTTTTAAAAGTGGCAAAACTGCAACCTTTTTCCACAATAAATGCGTGCTTTAACACCTCAAAATTTGTCAAATTTAAAACATAAAAATAGTTTAAATATTTTTTCAAAAATTTTAAAAAACTGCAAAACTGCAACCTTTTTCCACAATAAATGTGTATTTTAACGCGTAAAAGTTTGTCAAACCTAATCCTTTCTCAAGTACAAAAACATACAAAGCAGAGACTTTTCCCATGGCAATTCCAATTATCCTACCATTTCACCATTACCTTCGACCTCCATCCTCAATTTCACACATTCCAGAATGCAACCGTTCACAGACCATCGTTCCTCCGCGCCGCAAAAACTTCACAATCTTCAACCATAATTCCTACGCGCGTAACAAAGCGTCACAGCGGTGTAAAACGCATCGGAAAAACGAGGCGAAAGAACGGAAACCGTGTGCAAAGGTACAATTGGCCAGAGAGCGTCACGGTTCGACGGCGGAAACTCGACGCTCTCGTACATTTATAATTTAAACGAACGATCATTCAGCCAGCAGAGCGCGGTATTGCGCGTTTTGCAAGCGGAAACCGCGTTGCATTCTTCCCAACGTTCGTTCGTTTCGCCGTGTAACACGTATACCGCGCGAGGGTTGATTTTTGCCAAGTTTCGAAACGTTGCGGGAAACGGGCCGAGGTTTATCGATCGAAATCGCGACACACGCGGCCGTGTTTTGTTTGGAAAATCAATTTAGCAAACTACCCATTCGGTAATTGCACAGCGAGAGGGGATTTGCCGGCGTTTCTGAATCGAAAACGCGTCGTCGCGCGACTAACGATATCAATTTAGACGATATAATTACCCGCGCGGCGTACGAGATGGCGAATTTTCGAATTACCGGCGCGACACGCCGACGGTTTTAATGGAATCGGGGAATGCGAACGATCGTGGCCTCTTCGATTTCTAATGAATCGAGGTCGCGCGCGGTGACGCGCCCGGGAGAAACGCGAATCGACGTTAATCGACACGCGACTTTGACGCGTTAAACGCGTGAAATCGAGTCTTTCACGATGGCTCGACGTTCAAACGTGTTTCTGCCGGCAGTATCCTTGAATTTAGATTAACGTTTCGCACGTGAGATACGTTTTGGCGGTAATTTCACGCTCGTTTTGCGTGTAAAATTTTGCGGAGGATCGAGATTGATTTTTATCTTCGACGTTGAGTTGGTGATGGTTTCGAAGTGACGTGGTGTAAAATGACTCGCGAACGTTGCTTAACAGAAATATGTATTTGTTTAAATCAGATAACGCTTAAACGTATAGGCGACACGATGCATGTGCCTTTTTCGGGGCTCCCTCAAGTAGCCCCTTTTTCCCTGGGACAGTCCCAGGAAGTGGAGGCGCGGGCCTACATTGCCAAGGCGATACTCTTGCCCTCGAGGACAAGCGAGATCTTCGCCTCGAGGGCCAAGAGTCGCCAGGCCTAGATACGTGGGCCCCCCGTGGCGGTCGCCACAATGGTATTATTTTTCATAGAATATTGTAATCATAATACGATGATGTTCGTGGTCGTGCCTCTATTATTTTCATTTAGAAAAATTTGGTACGAGTTTATTAGTTGGGTTCGTAATATTTTGTGAAGGCACATAGGAGTCTATCAGTCTCAAAGGGTTAATCTTTAATTTTTCAGTTTCCCATTTTTTCAGTAAAATATTTAGGTGTACAAATTAATTCGATGCCTTCTTTCTCCGAGTGAACAAATTTTAAAACCGCTATATTCTTGTCAGAGAGGGAACTCGTCAGTTACTCGATAAGTGGCAAAGAATACATCCAAAATAACAGAAATTACTGTGAAAATTAAAACTGTGCCTGATTTTCTTTCTAAATAAACACAGAAGTTTGTAGAAAAAGGTGACCCACCGGTGGGTCACAATCCTCAACGAGTTAATTTCCTTCGGAATTCTTTCCAGCATACTCCCTCGTCACGTATTACAAGCTTCATCCTGCGCGTTACATGCAACTGCTTTGTGTAAACTCTCACCTGGTTAAGTCGTCCAAGTTCATAACGCTGGGGTAACAAAGGAAGATGACGAAGTCTGACTCAGGTATGTACAACATTTGCCCCTGGAAAAAGGAAGTAACAACGTTGCACGTGACAACGGAACACAGTTACTCCGTCTACAGTAAATCTGCGAGTCACTCGTCAGATTGCAAGTCAAAGAGAAACAAACAACAAAAGACTAAACTCTGGAACACATTCGAAATTCCACTGATAAAATTCCTTCAATTCAGAGTGTTTTAACCCCTTGACTCGTGACTTCTTTTGCTTAGACTATACATACAAATAAGCGTCTACTAGTTACCGTTTTATTACTGTATTAGTACGAAAAGGCAATGTTTGGTAATTCTCAGTCTTGTAAATGAAAATTGAGTTAAAATTAATTTTTGCTGTATCCTGATTAGAATCTGTGCCACGAGTTTGCTATTATAGGGCAGCGATTTTTAACCCGTCTTATCTCACGGCGCACGTAAACCAATTACTAAAATTCTACGGTACATCAAAAAAGGTATTATTGGAAAAAAAGAAATCGACTGATTTACAAAAAGAAGTAACATTTTTTCCCCTTACTTTTCAACTCGAATTAAAAATTCTGGGACACACCAAAGAAGATA